TCTTCTATTCAGAAAGAAAAACCTTTGTGTAGACTTTGTATTATGTAATCCATATTTGTTTTATTAATCAATTGATTTATGTGTACTTTTGAAAAAACAAAGTATATATAACATTTATACTGGCTTATAATTGTATTTTTATGTTTTGAAGAATTCTATTTATATACCTATGGCTTGTGAAACAGAAGAGGGCCTCATGAGATACTTGCTTTTGCAACGCTGAATACTATCTGGTACCAGAGTTAAGTCCTGTCTTATTCTGTCATCCTCTCCCACAACAGCTCTGATACTAAGAAACCTTGGCCCGCACACTTCAGTGGAAACCATCTTGTCTGCTCTGGCTCCATTTGCCACTCTCTCCCCTTCCAACGTCCGCCTAATCAAGGACAAGCACACCCATCTCAACAGGGGCTTTGCCTTTCTACAGCTCTCTACCATAGTGGTGAGGAAATGGACAGGTTTTCATTCTTCTGTTCTGATGATTTTAAAATAATACATTAACTCGCATGTTTCTGTATGTTTTATCAACAGGAGGCCTCTCAGCTGCTCCAGATCTTGCAGGCTCTCCAGCCGGCTCTCTCTATTGATGGGAAGGCCATCGTGGTGGAGTTTGCCAAAGGCTCCAAACGGTAAACAGACACACACCCAAACCTCCAACCAAACCACAAGACCCTTGCACACTATTGCCAATGCAGAAATAATAATATTGCGTGGCAGCTATTGCCACACCAAATGTAAACTCAAATGTGTCTTGTGAATAAAGTTGATTTAGAAATAGTAGCCTAATAATGTGGACACATTTTAAATGTTGTCTTTCTATGGCAGTGATGTGTTCCTGACGGATGGCAGCAGAGTGAGTGCTGCTACTGTAGCCAGCACAGCTATAGCTGCTGCTCAGTGGTCCGTCACACAGGTAACATGAAGGATTTATTATTACATAAAGGAAAACATGAGGTGTAACACATCTTTATTTATAAATTGTATTACTATTTCTTCTTATGTTTGGTTATAAAAATCTTCATCATTCTCAGACTCCTCAGAATGGGTCGGGGGGAGGCCAGACGACAGATACAGCCGTGTATCAGCAGGGGGCAGCAGTAACGTACAATCAGGAAGGAGTAGAGTACTCTGGGCTCGATGGCACACATTTCAAATCCCAGGGAGATGCCAGAGCTTCTGCTTTACCCGGTGCAAGAACAGCCCTGATGGGGGCGTACACAGGAGGAGCAGCTGCAGGTTGGTATTGCACATGTTCAATACACAAGGCCTGATACCTCTATGATTGTATATAGCTGTATACATTGGAATTGAACTTGAGTTAACTGAATCCCCCTTTCACATTTTGAGATTTGACGGAGCAGGGTGTACTTATACTTTTATTAGAGATGTGTCTGTTGTCTGTGTTTGTTTGTAGAGTGTGTCAGGATAGATCCCTTGTCTTTTTATCTGCAAACTAAATCTACCTACGGGTACAAATCCAGAACCTGATCCCCCTGTTTATGTTTGCAGAGGCCGTGACCTCTGGATCAGTGGTGCTGCAGCACACACAGAGTGCTCTCATCACCACAGCTAGCACTACACCAGTCACACAGGTACAACTTCACTGTTTGCTTCTTGCCTCTTGCTTTATTTCATCCCATTACTTTCTTGTTTTAAAGAGCTATGTCTCTCCTCAGGTTGAGATAGTAGGAAAACCACAGCCAGCTGCTCCAAGCCAACCTGCTACACCAGGCACTGAACACGAGCTCCAGCAATACCGTAAGGCTTTTGAGAAAAAAGAAAAAGCAATGAATAAACATCTTCAATTATAACTGTAAATATCTGTCTTTGGTGGGTAACTTTGAGGTGCTATTTTGGAGTTTATCTGAATGTTTATTTAGCTTGATGATGATGCTGTCGAGCTGACTTTTTATGATCATGAAAGGATTTTAAATATGAAATCTGACCCTGGTGTCCTGTGTCTTTGATTGCAGCTGTGCCAGATGTGTCCACATATCACTATGATGAGAGCTCTGGCTTCTATTACGACCCACTCACAGGCCTCTACTATGACCCCAACTCCCAGGTAAAGAGTTGTGAATGTACTGCACTCTAATGTCCATCCAGCACTCTCTGAAAGACTTTTCTGAATGTATCGCTATCCTCTGCATTTCAGTCTGGTTACTCGTTGTCTCGTTACAGTACTACTTCAACCCTCACACTCAGCAGTACATGTACTGGGATGGAGAGAAGCACACCTACATTCCTGCTGCTGACGGTCAGTCAAACTCAGAAGGCGCTCCCACCAGCCTTGGCGCAGCCCCTTCAGACTCACCGTTTGGAACCCCTGGCAGCAAGGAGAAGAAAGACAAACCCAAGAGTAAAACTGCTCAACAGGTACTCCCCACACTGGATACTGGTAGCATACTGACAGACGTGAACATAAAACTAATAAACCTTTAGATTTTAATGTAAAACTCCACCATAAAGCTTTTTACTCTTTGTTTTTTATTAGAAATCTGTAAACAAAAATGTAAACATCTGTTAACTTTCAATTTGGGAAGTGAAAGTGAGTAACAAATCTAACAATATCTCACAGTATGAAACCGTTCATAATGAACTATGCTATTCTACTGTATGGCCAAATTCACCAAAGGTTTTTAAAACCTTACATATTCTGGAAATGTTACTCTTAACAAGGTAGTAATTATTCAAGGACTACTGAGTTAGGTTGTTATGCTCATGTTTTATTGAACCCACTGATTTTCAATGTTTTAATCTTCCTCTGTTCAGTCCTTTTACATGGCTAACTTGGATCTCTTGATTTCATATGAACAGATTGCCAAAGACATGGAGCGCTGGGCTAAGAGTCTCAACAGACACAAGGAGAACATGCGTTCTGTGTCCTCCTCCCCTGCCGTCGGCACCACAGCGCTCCCCCCTGGTTACGCTCGGGCCCCTGGCCACAGTCGCCTAGATGACCGCAGAGAATCTGCCAGTGCTGATGCAGGCTATGCTGTTCTGGAGAAAAAGGTAGATGACCCTTTCACAGACACACATGCCTAGCTGCAAACCCCTGGGCAGCAGGGTCTCATAGTGAATGGGGAGAGTGTGCATCAAGCAGAGGACTCTGTAATAAGACGTTTGCACAGTCTTTTTAACTGACCTGGTAATTATTCTCTCTCTCTGTCCTGCAGGGTGCACTGTCTGAACGGCCTCAGATCTTTCTGGATCAGATCCGACAAAGTACTGAAGTAAGGACATGGACACAGTCATTGTGTTTGTCTGTTTGTCTGATGTGCTCGTAGCTTTTCTATAGGATGCTTCAAAATGTGTTTTATTCTTCCAAGCATAGATTTCTATAATTTTTCCCTCAGTTATTGATCTTGCATCCTATTTCTGTAGCGTTCCCCTCCTCAGCAGCAGGGTCTGGTCCCAGCCTACAGTGGAGAAACTGACAGCGACGAAGAAGGAGGGGACAAAGATGAGAAGGAAGGCAGAATGACCGACTGGGTTAAACTGGCCTGTCTGCTGTGTAGGAGGCAGTTTCCCAGCAAGGAGGCACTCATCAGGCACCAACAGCTCTCTGAGCTACACAAGGTTTCAATCTCATTTAACACAATAGCAAACAAACCATAAATGATGATTTAGGAATAAGTGTAGACTCACTTGTTAAATTGTTGTCTCATACATTCTTTTGTATTTGTTATTTAAAGTGTTTATAATAAATGACATACGTCTAAACTTTCACCTGTTTGTCTGTATGCCCGCAGCAAAACTTGGAGCAGAGAAGAGCCCTGCAGGATTCTGCAGGAAAAGAGGTTGGTCCTGCCACAGGGACTAGAGGAGTGCGACAACATTACATAGAGTTGTGCTGTTTGTTGCTGAATGTGTGCAGTTGGTATTGATTTCATTGTCTTTTTGTATTACCCACAGAGACTTGCAGATGGACCAGAACTTCCTGATCCTAAGAGGAGGAAGTTTAACCCCATGTAAGCAACAGTGAATTACCAAACAGACCCACATGCTGTGGTCATTTATCAAATACTAGCTAGATACTCTGATGCATTTTTCCTCTTTTACAGTCCAAGTCAGGCTTTATGTTATGTATGATATTATGTTTGCAATTGGTCTGTACTTAATACGATTGCAAGTCCTGTTGCTTATTCCATACCGTGTCTGCACACTTATAAGTTACTTTATTCTCTTCTCTCTTCAGTGATGGGATCACTGGCACCAGTCTTGGTGCCAGGATGCTGCAGGGAGGAGTGAAAAAAGGGTTTCTACTGCGAAACATGCAAGTGGAGTGAGCCCTAAACCTGACTTTTCAATTTCCTGACCCAGGCGGGACAAGGACAAACCTAGCACGCAACACTTCACCATTAACATCATCTAGATATCTATAGATAAAGCTCTTAATTTTGGTTTAATTACCATTACCTCAACTGTGGTAATACACTCGTGAACTGATCCTGTAGCAGTGTATGTCAGGATATTGCACAGAATGCACTTTTTTGCTTTCTTCCTGAATGATGCAGTTTTTAGTTCTCACTTGCTTTAAAGCTTGTGTGTGATGATCAAGTTTTGTGGTTGGGAAACATTTTCTGTTGGAAAGTGAAAGATCAGTATAGATCTAAAGGCAGCGAATGGGATTTTCTAATATTACTGTCTATGCACCATAGATTTTTTTTATTTAATGCTAAATGCCTTGTCATTCAGTGAATGACTGATCTAGGCAAACCTGTGTATACATTTTAGAAGAGACTGTGGCCTCATGAACTGGACATTGTCACACTAAAAACAAGTGTGTAGATGAAAAGTGTGTAGATATCAATTCACAATGTAATACATCATTATTTCTGAAGGAAGCTATTCTGTATTTCTTTATTTGTTTAATATTGTGACGGTTTTATCAAGCTCATGTAAATTAATCCACAATTACACGTTTTCATTTGTAGCAATGATTGATGTCTTGTGTGGGCAAGCCGGTCGCTGATGTTTGGACATTTTAACCTGACATTTCCCAAGCTGTGTTTCTGCAAACCGGTGGTTTAAAAAAAGAGGAATACCATGCAACATCTAACCTGCAGAAATTGTTTCGCAGCACAAAATGTCTGTTCCTGATATTTGTCTTTAACCAGTGGTGTAAAGTAACTCAGTAGATTTACTCAATTACTACACTCCACTACATCTATACTTTTAGTTAGTTTGCAGATTTGCATTACTGATGTGAAATATAAATAAGACTTAGTTACTCCTGGAGTAATATTCACAAGCTACCCTGCAGCATACACAGTCATTAAATTAGCTGCACCTTTAACAGCTTTGATAACACTTTAATGCATACATAATTATAATCGGAACATAAAATGATTGAAATTGGCCGATGTGCATAATGGATACGTTTACTGTTGGTACTTTTAGTATATTTTGATGCAGATACTTAATTACTTTAACTTGAGTAACATTTTGATTGCAGGACTTTTACTTTTTACTAATACTTTTACGTAAGTAGAAGATCTGAGTACTTTTCCACCTCTGTCTTTAACCCACCTGTGCTATGGCTGTTGAGTTTCCATGGTAACAACAACAGACGCTATACTTTGTCCGCTGCAGTTAGCTTTATCAAGTAACACCAGATAACTTACCTCTATTTTATTTGTTACGTTTTTCTTTATTATTTTTTTATGTAAAGTTACTAAGCTTAACTCAATTTAACGGTTTAGCTACTATAACTTTGTCATGTAAAGTAGGCCCACTAGTTGAGAGTTAAATCCGTCGTTTGTTTATTGGCTAAACTCAGTGCAGTTGGACCTAGTTAAACGCCTGATGTATACCTACTGACAAGCTGCACATTGTTAAAAGACGAGAAATTGACAAGGATGTCTGAGAAAGATGCAGTCCTGTCAGATGTAGAGGGGGAGGAAGAAACACAACCAGAAGCAACCGAAGAAGAAGAGAAGGTAATGGTGACCTGAGAGATAACAGAAGAAACGCAGACACACGCCATTAACTAGTTTTGCAGAAAGTTAACCTGGAAGTTGGAACATATATTGTATGATTGTGCATATATTTCGTTTTTTACTTAACGAGCTTTATATAGATGCCAATACTTATGTATTTTTACTTGAGTAACATTTTAAGTACAGGACTTTTACTTGTAACAGACAGTATTCCTACGCTTTGATATTTCTACTTTTACTTAAGTACAAGATCTGACTGAGTACTTCTTCCAATTCTGATTACAAGAAAGCTTAAAGGTCCCATGTCATGGCCATTTCCACTGATCATAAAACAGGGTTGCAAACTCTCACGCATCTGGCGTGTGACACACGCTTTCACTCTCAATCTCACGCTCTCACGCTGCCCAAACTATTCTCACGCCAAAAAACAAGAATACCGAAGACTAGAAACGGTTTTGAAAACTGTTGTGACGTAGTGATCGTCTTCTCAATAGAACATCTTTGATAATGTCTTCTGGCCAATCAGAATCAAGATAACGGCGTGGTGTTGTTGCAGGAAGTCCCGACGGAGAATACTTTTGCTGTAGTACATCTCTATATACATCGATACAACATTACGTGTTGATAGAAATCAACACGTAATGAAATAAGACCCCACGGTTTGATGATTGATAGGTGTGTGGGCTGTCTTTCATTTTGACACACTTTGACACACAGAACAATGGGGGCTATCCACCCTTATCCACAATGTAAAGTAATTCACAGCCTCTTCCTCTTCTCTCTCTGAGGAGCAGCAGGTTCAGCTTTCAGAACAAAGTAACACAAAACTAAAATGGCATTCATTTTTTTAAATATGTCGTGTAGTAGGCTAATAGATGTATTTATTTTCTTCTCAAGAGAGTACCAGAATGTGTATTTTATGTTAGTATTTCAAAAAAGCTCCTGGGGGAGAATCCCCTCAGACCCCCTGCAGGGGTTGGGGTTTCAGCATGTCAACTCTTTCATTTGTGGAGAAATTGCAGGATTGGCTCCAGGTCGCCCTTTTTATTTACTACAAGACAAATGTGCTTTTTTATTTCATACAGTTCAATTTTGATTGAGACAGGGAAATAATCTAAACCTCACGCGTGGCGTTTCACTGTCAAGGGGAGCGTGTATGTAATTACAATGCAAATACTGACTTGAGCCCCACCACTGTATGGGTTAGCCCTATTACCCAACAAAAATACTCTCTCGCAACTGCCGACCCGTATTGCGCAAGCGCAGATCTAAGATCCAGTAGAAATGATAAAAAAGTAAAAGTCTGCTGCTTATTGTTCTACTAGGCCAAAATAGAGTCAAAGAGAGTATGAGAGTGAGAGTGTGTTAATTAACATATCTGGCAGTTTGGAGTAAGTCTGTAGATTTGTGTGAGTGTGTTTCATGTAGGCTACTGTATAGGCCTCTCACGATAATTAATTTTGTTGGATACATTTTCCCGGAAATTATTGCGATAAACGATAATATTATCAGCACCGTTGTATGACCATTTTAGACCACTGACATAATGATAATATATAATAATAATTCAAGTACATCCTTTCAAACTGCTAGTCACATCCTCATGTAAATGGCAATTTATCGAGTTCATTTGTATTTATCGTACGATAAGTCAATTAATTGCTTATTGCGACAGGCACACAATAAAACAGTGGAAACAAACATGTGTTTGACTTTCATTAGTGAATGAAACTTTGTGTCCTTTATAGTCTGTGTCCAATATTGTGTATTTGTATATATTGTATATATATCCTATATATGCTAAGGTCCCGCTACTGACACGATAGCAGTCATTTCGTGCGCATATGTGTAATCAAACCCATGATATCAAAATCTCACTCCAGCCAGGTACCCAAAGTTGGCAACCCTGCATAATTCCATTGTTGAGGTCTACTAGAATAGATTTATATTGTGCAATTTTCCAAAATCACTTTGGTTTCTCAAACAGCATCTCTGTAAACTACGTGTATTCACTGAATTTCACGCTCTGCCTTTAACGGCTTGTTGTAGCTCCAATAGCTCCAGCCCCCACCTTCCCTGTGAGCACAGTGTGCTCTGATTGGTTGGGACGTTGTGAATCGAGCTGAGCTCCGTGGAGGTGTGGTTTCCTTGTTTAGCCAAACACAGCCAAACTCACCGAGCACACACAAAGTCACAACCGAAGTAAAAACAATAAGTGTGGCTTGATATTGAGTAAGAAAAAGGTTGATAAACGCTGTGAGAATGGGTCTGCAGAGAGAATTTCGCCGCGATCCCAACTGTCTGTTATCAGCCTGCAGCCAGGGAGGAGAGATCAGCATGACATGAGTTACCCGGAAGAATCAATGGACAGTGACGTATCTCCAACGAGGCGTTTTGGGGAGGTATCGCTACAGGGTGTACTTTGAGGGTTTTGACTCTGCAGACCATTTACATGCATAAAAACCTTCATAACACACAAGGGGACGGGTAATAACCGGAAAAGCATGACATGGGACCTTTAACATTGCCATGATGCTGGTTTTAAACGATAGGTGGAGTATCAAGCTATATCATTCCATCACTGACCTACTCCAATAAGAAAATCCAAGGCTTAATCCACATAACCCTTTATCCAATGCCTCAGAAGTTGCCATCATGTCACAGAATGCATTACACTGTTTTAGGAGTGTGAGTAGGCCTACCTTTTAACCCACAACACCAAATGAATGGATGTTATCTAATCATTAATCCCACGAAATGCCATAAGGTAAATAACAAGTTGGCCCAAGTAGCCTAATGCATGACTCATTAAATAATGCTGGGCGTTCCAAAAACACCTGTTGCCCACCCTTAACTAAATCATTTCTGACCAATGTATTTTTTAAAGCAGAACATAACCTATTCTCATTGAAATATTAAGCTATGTTTCCTATCCTGTTCATTTAATGTATTGGCACTAGGGGTGTAACGGCATCCGTACCGTCACGGTTCGGCACAAGCAGTCACACGACGAATACGCCTTTTTTTTAGGAGTGGGAAAAAGGTCTGTCATTCAGGGCAGTATCCATTACACTATTTATAATCCAGGGGGCGGTGTTGCGCCTAAACGCTGCTGCCAGCCGCCCTTAAACAACAAATGAAGAACAAGAAGAAAACACAACAACAAAACGAACAAAATACAAGAAGAAAATGTAGTATGGCGATGTCAGATAACACACAGGAGCTAGAACCCACCTGCTTCTTTTAAATCAGCTGTGTGGGAACATTTCGGGTTCCCTGTGGGTTACAATAACGATGAAGTGCGAGTGGTGGATCGGACGGTGTGTCGGCGTTGTTAGACAGCGGTGCGGTATGCTACGGAGCCCCCTAGGGGATTTGGAGAAGAAGAAAAAAAATGTTTTGCGAGATCTCGCAATACTTTTCATTTAGTACTTCCTGGTCAGTTCGGCTGCTACGGCAACACAGAAACCACAACAATGGAGTGGTTAATCGATTTTACTTTGAGCTTGGCCTTAAATATAAAGATATAACATCAGTGCTTGGCAATAGGCACGGGTTTCACACAAAGACTGTATATATAAAGGGTTTCACTAAGTGAAGACACCTCAAGAGAACACTCAGAGCACACTCACTGCTACAACTACATGCTCTGAGCTGAGTTATTGACAGATTCGAATTTCGCGGATCAATAACTCATGAACATAACGTTGTAAAAATACAAACATGACTTTACAATCATAGCAAAGTAGACAACGAGCTACAGAGTCGTTTTATCAGAACAGTTCGATACGCGCCGTCATCCGAGCTAAACATCAAGAATTGGTCACAATCTGCAGCTGGAGGAGGGAGAGGAGTGCAGGAGGAGTCTACAAACTGCAACGGGGTTTTGCGAGATATCGCAAAACATTTTATTTATTTATTTTTTCAAGGAATTTTTTTTCTTCTCCATGTCCCCTAGGGGGCTCCGTAGTACGCTAATGGTAATCATAGACTGTATATATAAATGGACGTAGGGTCCGTGACGTCACCCATAGGATTCTGCAGAGTTGCCGTGAAGCCCTAGGCGGAGTCGGCCACTAACGGCTCGATAGTGACGCCAGAGTTCAACTCCCGCCTTCTCCAGCCTGCTCCAAATAAGGGCAAAGAGGCGGAGCCGAGGCGGGACCTGCTGCCACCAAGCTGGAAGTTCCAGAGCTAGCTGAAGCTACCGTCGCATTTTACGTTTCTAAGGTAAGCGGACATGAAACTATTCAGCAAAACTATAAATAATAATCTAAGTTATTGAGCTTTTAGCATAATACTTCAGAATCTTAAAACCCCTTAACGTTTGTATGCAATTGTGCTAAATTCAACACTGGAATCAAGCAAATATTAATATGTTTGATGGACGTCCTGTCTGTTGGTTTGGAGAGGACTGAGGGTCTTTCCTCTGCGAGGAGGACCAGGGCTGATGAAGGAGCCCATGCTGGGCAAAGCTGATACCAACTGCACAGGCCTAGTCGGTCACTTTATTTGACTAAATGTGTTTAATACATTTAATAGGTTTACACCTTCTGTCCATATGTGCTTTTTATTTAAAACATTTGATTAACTTTTGGTTCACATTTCAATAAATTGTATTTGTATTTGCACTCCTTTTGTCCATTATTCTTACTGAAAATGTTAGATTACACATTCACATCTGACTGAAGATTGGCCCCATTTATTTGTGACGTTGCAAAACAAGGTACATGTTGTGAAGCTCATAAAGTGAGGCAAATAGAAATAATCAGCTGATGGAGTGTAGATGTGGAAATAGCTGCATTCGATCAGCTGACTGTTTTTACAATAAAAATAGTTTCTTAGTGAATGTCCTGTACTGGTCTTAAAATCTCATAACATCAGCTTTTAATGTTCCTCTTGGATGTTCTTCTTGACCCTCAGAGAAGGAGAAAATGTCCTGTCTTTCAGGCATGTCCTTTCCTAACAAAAATGACAGGAAACATAAAACATATTATTGC